TGTATGTGCGTAACGTACATGTATGTACATATAGACGTTCTGTGCTTGTTTTAGAGCAGAGGTATTGTCAACCTGAAGTTTTAAGCATGCGCAGGGCATGTCCGAGTTCGCTTATTGCCTCGAAGCTTTGAAATGTTTTAGACCTACCCTTAAATCGACAAGTAAAGTAAATACTAACATGGTTGATTTTTCAGGAATTTTCAAATTTTTATTATAACTTCCGGTCTGATGAAGTCATTCGCCTAAAACTTCGCACACGTCTTATGTGGGTCAAGGTAATCATATACACCAATATTTAGGCGATTCCAACAAACTTCGCCACAGACATCTATTCAAAATACATTTCTGCGAATTTTCAACCTGTCGCTCGAGGGCGCTCGAAAATTGCATGACGTCATTGGTAAATGATTTGAAGAATACTTTTAGCCAAGAGACTAACACCGTTAAAAGCAAGTTCATATCTATTACCATTTTCAAATAATAAGCCACTTCCGGTTTTGGCCTTTTTCGACCGGAAGCAAGGGTCACGTGATTTCACGCACACCGAATGAAATAAAGACCTCAACCTACTCTACCACTTGCCGGTAACAGAATGCTGCGGATGCGTACGGTTGATTTCTTATGCATTTTTAAATATTAAAAGTGTCACAATTTAATTGCCTATAAATACACACCGGATGACGTCATCATGACGTCGTCATTACACAATGTTGTTTGAATTAGGTTCTTTGCTTGGACAAAGATTGGTGCAAATGAATTACTGGCAAAGAGTCAAAAATGCCCTTTGAAAATCGACAATTTTTTCTAAATTTCTGTGTACAAAGTCTATGGGAAAAATTAAATATTCAAAAATCTATAATACATTTGTCGATGACGTCACCATGACGTCAATCTTCGGGACACATCTTTGCTATAGGGACCAGAAAGGAAAAACGTGCACAAAGTCTATGGGGTTTAGGCGACAAAGAAGATGAAGATGAACAATAAAAAATGAGAACAGAAAGAATGGCTTTTTCGCAAAACTGCGAAAAAGCCAAAAAGCCAAAAAAAAAAGAAACAAAAAATCTTAACGAAAACAAAGGCTGTTTCGGCAAAGTGCCGAAACAGCCAAAAATGTTGTCAGGGCTACTGATTTTTGTAATGGATATGGGTCGGGTAAAAAAAGGAGGGGTTGTATGGTGAGGGTACACAGATTCATTGAATGTGAAGTCATAGTGGACAGATAACGAAAAAACAGAATGGAATGAAAGTCAATATTTTACTTCACATTTAACGTATACATGTATTGAAGATTATTGAAATGGCCATAAAATGTGATTGTTTTAAACAGCGCCCCAATTGTCATATGACACCCCCACCCCTGTACACAAGGATTTTCTTGGCTCTTAAATGTGAAATGTTAGAGTTCAGGGCTGCCATTGTGTGCTGTGTATTTATAATTATGAAATCAAGTGCTTCAAGTCATCAATGTTGTCCGCGCTGTACCAAATTTTCGCAGTAGGCGTACATTTCTTGCTGTACATTTCTTCCGCTGTTTTTACAGTTTTGATACCACGCAGATCCATACTGTAGCGCCTGTACATCTCTCAAACTCGCAGTCGATGCAGGCCCTTTTGGGTTATTCCTAACGACCCCGTGTCCAAGCAACATGCAATGGCTTGTTTACCTTTGCTTCGACCAAACCAGCGCATTTATATCATTCTGTAGGCTGCTTTAATGGTAATGATTAACTTCTGATAACAAAGTCCAAATATGGCACGCCAAAGCGGAATGTATTCAACCCTGCATGGCAACTGATACCATCATGAAGTACATTACAACTTTTATATGCACTTTTGCATAAAAGCGTGAAACTTGAAACAGATGTTATATTCATGCGAGAAAATGTTTTAGATGTGGAGCCATCGCAAATGTACCCTTTTAGGGGCGTGGCATCCATTTAAAAAAGGGGTGGGACTTGTCGTGCCTGCAGTGAAAATGGCTTTTACCACTTGTCACCAAAGCAGAAAACCTCACAGAGACATAATTATATCGATTATAAGTGTTTTCCACAAAAGTACCTTTTTGGAGGCGTGACAGCCATTACAATTTAAGGGGGGGGGGGGTTAATTATTATGCCCACCTAGGAAAAAAAATTCCCATATTTCATGAAAAAAAGAAAATGTCCCACAGACGTTTATATTCATGAAGAAAAAATTGCAGATGTGGAACCATCTCGAACACACCCTTTAAAAAATAAGGGGGGGGGGCGGGGTTTTCATTATGCTTACCATGGAAATATTGTGGCGAAAATCGCCAGGATGTTTATTTACTTTTTGCAGTTCCAATGCTTAACGATGTTCATAATTAAATTTAGGATAGAACTTTCTGAGTTACTTAGAATCACTGACCCTTTTATTAGCTGAGAACTTAGATTTTACTTAAGATATTTGTTTCATTAATGACTCGTTTAAACTTTGAGCTATATTTCTCGGAGCTTTACTCTCAGCTGTGCCTACGCTGACTCCATGTTGTGATGTGAAGTTTCATTAACGTATTGCTGTACGTTCACCGCCCATGCACGGCACGACTTTGAGCCAGGTACATGCGCACTGCTGTATTGTTACAAGCTACCGTAGAAGTGTTGTGCTATTTAGCCAATCATTGCTGTTGTATGAGGCGCGTAAGCACACGCGCACGCGCTTACGCAGAGTGCGTCCGAACCGTGCCTATAAATACAGCTGATTTCCAATTATTTTGGTTCTGTTTTCGTCTTCGAGCACACTGCGCAAGACCTCAAGACTTATAAGTTAGGCCTAGCCCCACGCTTGCATGCACCGGCATGGAGAAACCACACGTGCATATTGAGTGTGTAAATCCCGATCCTTTAAAGTCAATATTGCATTTTACTTGTTTTTCTTATCAGTTTTTACTGCAGTATAAAAGAATACAAGGAATGAGGCCACCGTACGCTACCAATGCCACCACTGAATCGCTCATATTTTATTCAAATCTCAACTTAAAAGATAGAGGGCGTTCGTTTAAAGAGGTTGTGGAATGCTCGAAGACATTTCCGTCATTTTTCGGGTATATGTAGCCTAAGGTGTGATGAAATAAAAACGACAATTGTTTCTGTCATGAAATGAGTACAAAAGGTACTTTTGAGAGCTGTTTTTCGGGTCCAGTTTCGACCCGAACGTGCAACTGTGTAAAAGTCGTCGTAGGGGGCTGCAAACAAAACACAGTAAATCGTGACGTAATAAACAGGACTCGTGTATGCTACTGTGCATCGGGAGTCCTGTTTATTACGTCACGATTTATTGTGTTTTGTTTGCTGCCCGCAACGACGACTTTTACACAGTTGCACGTTCGGGTCGAAACTGGACCTGAAAAACATCTCTCAAAAGTACCTTTTGTACTCATTTCATGACAGAAACAATAGTGGTTTTTATTTCATCACACCTTAGGCTACATATACCCGAAAAATGACGGAAATGTCTTCGAGCATTCCACGACCTCTTTAAAGATTGTACAGTTTACTTGTGGACCAGAACAAAAGTTCTTTGTAAGAGTTGATTGGTAAAAGAGAACCATTTTGTGGACATTATCTTTCTTCTTTTGTTCTTCCTGCATTTAATCTCACTCATCGAAACTGAACTCAAGTTTAGGGCAGACAACACTGTAAAACGCGAGAACATGTGACACGTTTATAAAATAAACGCAGTGTTTTAGATTTAAACACTATGTGACAAAATTAAACACATCATGTGTTTTTAAACAAAACAGTCAGCGTTTAATGTCAACAGTGCTATAGGGTGTTTATTATGAGATCGGTTTTAGAAAATGTTTTAACTGTTCAATTTCACTAGTTAGCATTTTGTTTATTCCCAAAGAATAACACTTTGTTTAAAAAAGGCTTATTAACTAATTAGGACACTAATAATAACTCAAGTTATTAATTTAGCTGTTTGTGTTCAACACCTAATAAACACGGTACACGCCACGATGTTTAAATCTGACCACGTGATGTTAGGTCTTAACCGATAGGATTAAATCTGATTGCGTGCTGGCGCGGCATAATCGGGCCAGTTAATTACGCGGCACAAAGACAACCGCCATTTTTCTGACAATAATCTGGGCACACTAATAGAATAATGTAATGGCGAGAATTAGTATCTTCATTCGTGGTAACAAAATTTGCATCGGGTAATGAAACAATATACATGTACATGCATGATGTAGTCTCACAGAAGGTACTAACAGTTGGTCATGATCTAGGCTAGAACTCAAGTTTGGTATGCATATTGCCAAGTCAGCAAGAGTACTCAGATGCAACGTATTCTGTGCATGCAGTACGACGGTTGTAGTTTGAACCAGTTCTGGAAGCTCCCACACAGGTGGTAAGTTTTGTCTTTTGTGTTGTTTGATTTAATTAATCCCGATATACAATATGATAGATTTAGAAATATGAAATGAGATGAATTAGTGGGAGCAATTATTGGCCAAAGGATCGTGTGATAAAACATGAATATGAAGGGGAAAAAACAACCCTGATTTTGATTTCCTCATATTATTTTTTTGGATGACGATGCTGTTATACAGTATAACTGCTGTGCAGCTCACAATATTATGAAGGAAGTTCTGTATTTGAGCCACATTATGGGATGGTCTACGTTGAGTGTATACTTAATATGAGGCTATAAGCCTATGGGGCGATTTACAATTGCAAACACGCACTGTCAAAATCTTTGTAATCTTGGAAAATTCAGTGAAGTGGATTGTTTTTTAAAATCGTGATTTAACTATTCAATAAAAGCATGCTAGTGTTATCACCACTGCCTAATGTAAGCTGAAAGGGACCAGCATGAATGATTTTGAAAAGAAAATTCTAGTATTTGTAAGGTCAGGTACAAATTGTTTAACCATAATTTCCATTTCACATGATGTTATGGACGTATATTGTTATGATATTTTCTTTCTGTATATTTTCAGGGTGTGTCTAATCCCTTGCAGATGAGGAGAGCTATTGACTTTTAAAATAAGGTAAGTGTCTTTTGGCATTGATCGTCATTTGACAGTGCAGTGTGTGATTGTAAAGATCAGCTGTGTATAAAACTTTTGAAAAACCCGCAGTGCGTGTACATAAAAGATGATCCCCCAATTTTTGGTACAATGCAGTATTTCACAGGGATTCAAAACCATTCGTTTTACAGAACATGTGTTATGTTTTGAATATAGGGTCCTCTGTAGACGCTCGATGTAATTGCATACATGTACGTTCAGCAGAACACCAAGTTTGAACGTGGCGAGGGTACGAAGACGAGGAGAGTGCTAACTATTCATGAGGTAATTTTGTATTGTAAAATATATTATTCAAATCTTCAATTTCATTGAATGATGATGGTTGGCTGAGATTCTATCTTGCATAAGAACCTTTCAAATTCCACTGTAAATTTACTCTGGCGGTAAAACATCATGAAATAAAAAAGTATAACATTCTAGGTGAATACAATTTTGAAATACAATTTTAAATAGAAAGTCTCCATAAATACCTACATGACTGAAAAGTTATTGGTACAAAACTGTGAAAAGCTTGCCTATTTTCTTCAGATTTTATTTTTAATATTTGATCCATGATCAAGCTCAAGCTGTAACTGTACAGTCTTGGTGCACATTATCTCTGATAACAAAGGTTACTATTGACGTGAGTCCCAAAAAGGCCTACAATTGTGCAATTTACCTTTGAACCCAATTTTGTAATCAGTTTTCATATTGTTCCTGGAGTAAACTTTATTAATGACTTGTCATTTTAGGGTCTCCATTATTTTTTTTTACTGTGAGCATGGTTTCACTTTCAAAGTTGATCAGTTTTTGTATGGCTCACTCAGAAATCTTGTTTATGTCCACAGAATGCTGCTGAACCAGACAGAGTACCTGCATCAAAACTACAGTTTACATTACATGTGGAGACACCATCAAGAAAGTCTCGAACTACAACACGTACAATGATTCGCTTCTTCTCCAGCTTGGGGAACTATGCCTTTGATTTGGATTATCCAGAGTATTTTCACGTGCTTTGAGTTCTTTTCAATAAATCATAATCAGAGAAAAGTTTTCCTGGCAGATTCCAGCAAATTCATGCAGTTCACTACAAGGTATTTGTGTATAAATTAATTGGATATATTGTTGAAATCTCAGCTAAAGATCAATACTTATTTTACCACTTCAAACTATAACGGAAACCTTCATAGGTTTAAAAAAAAACAAGTATAATTCATTTGCAGTTTTACTTCTAACTCTCATTGAATTGGAAATTAATTTGTTTTTAGCCCTATTTACAGATATATTCATTTACTTCAAATTCACCCTTTTGTGTTTGTTTATGTTTTTGTTTCATTGTTTTGATACTTGTGAAAAATGTAATTGGCCTTTATGTTGGGGTCTTAAAAAAAAGATTGTTGGAAACATACTGATAGGCATGTGGCATATTCACATAAATGTCAAATTATTTTTGCTGTCGTAATGTACAATATTCTCTAGGGGTGACCATAAAAATAAATTTGTATTTTATTGTGTCCATTTTCATGATTCGATAGAACTCAATAGGCCTTTTACCACAATCCTATAGGTAAAAATGAAGACAGCATTGTGAAGTGCCCTAAATGCGTTTATTTCAATGTTGTTAAAGGGAAAATACAACATTTGCAAACATTAAAAAATAAAACTACCAAATCATTTTGAAATACCTTGCTGGACTGTTAGTGAATGACAGTCTAAAGCATCCTGTAAAATCATGGCCTCTGGTATACTGTCATTTTCAAGAAAAGTGGTATTTTAGTATGAATTTCCAACGCTGATCGGCCGATCAGCGTTGGAAAAAACTGGCTTTTTTTTCAAATACTGGCCCCAGTTGACCATCGCACTTGTTTGCAATCGATTACACACCTATGAACGGGTACAAGCCAGCTAGACTGGTTCCCTGACCTTACAATTCCCCAATATATGTAAACTGCTCTGTTTCTTTTTAAATGGAGTCAGGGAACCAGACTACAGGAAAATTATTGTTTTTCTTGGTTTTTATAGCATTTTCGAACCCAAAACCTCAAAAAAATAAATGTAACTTTATTTGCTATATATTTCCAACCCCCCGATTCCATCCATTTCTGAAAATTACAGCAAAAGCAAATGATGTATATTCCCTTTAATATTGTGACTGAAGTTTTACTTGCAATTTTGAAGACTGTTCGAAAAGTAAACACACACTGTGAATATAAACACTTGAAAATAATAATAAATGGCGTCACATGTTTAAAATCTGTCACAGGCAATAAACGTGTCACATGTTTAAAATTACAACAGATTGACGTGTTTTCTTTTTGACTGTGTGTTTACTGTTTAAACGTCAGTAGTATTTAAATGTAAACGCCTTTGATGTATATATTTTAAACACTGTTCCGTTTAAAGATAAAACACCGTCAGTGTGCTGATTTTAAACACAAAATATGTTTTCAAATTAAACATGTTCATTGGATAAACTGCGTCACATGTTTAAAAGCTGTCACAGATTAGTGTTTATTTAGGTGTTCTAAACCTAAACACATGGTTTACAGTGAACTGGGACCACCTTTGGTTTTATGACCAGATTGATTAAAGGCATTGCCGGAAACGTTACAATATTGTTCCCACATTCATAGAGAAATGGAACTTTCCACAGACATTAACATTCATGAGAAAAAAAACAAGATGTGGAGCCATTGCGAACACACCCTTTTAGGGGCGTGGTAGCCATATTGAAAAAAGGGGGCGGGGTTCTCATTATGTCCACCATAGGAAAAATGTGCCCACATCTCATAAACGAATGAAGCTAATTCCCACAGACATTAATATTCACGAGAAAAACTCAGACGTGGAACCATCGCAAACACACACTTTTAGGGGCGTGGCAGCCATAGTAAAATGGGGGGGGGGGTAGTCATGATGCCCCCTAAAAAAACCGTGCCTACCTTTCATAAGCGGATTTAATTCCACGTGGACAATATCTTCATGGAAATCTTCCTTTTTTTGAATGTGATGCCATTACAAACCTACCCTTTTAGAGGCGTGGCATCCATTTTCAAAATGGGGAGGGGTTCTCAATATGCCCACCGTGGAAAATTTTGATCGCTTTTCATAAAATAATATCCACCTCAGATAGCTCTTCTAAAATGTGTTGGAGTAAGGCCGCCTTTACATGTATAGTTAGTAGTGACTGTTGGCAACCCTGTTTTTCTTACACTTTGTATTCTTGCCATTCTTGCCTCATAATACCCAGTTACTGGTTCTGTCGTCTGTAGAATTAATGTTAACCTCCCAACTGCAACAATTTCTGAATTGGGAATATCAACTGGGGTACCTCAGTTAGTCTTGGAAAGACTAAGTGCTACTTCTTCAAATACATTATGTTTCCCATGCCTTTTTTGTGACAGACCCAAAGGCATATGCAGTGTCGCACCTGTATCAAGTAAAAAATAATGTTGTCAGGGCTACTGATTTTTGTAATGGATTTGGGTTGGGTAAAAAAGGAGGGGTTGTATGGTGAGGGTACACAGATTCATTGAATGTGAAGTCATAGTGGACGTGACCATCACGGTGAGGAGAGCAGATCGTGTTGTGTGCTGTGTATTTATAATTATGAAATCAAGTGCTTCAAGTCATCAATATTGTCCGCGCTGTACCAAATTTTCGCAGTAGGCGTACATTTCTTGCTGTACATTTCTTCCGCTGTTTTTACAGTTTTGATACCAAGCAGATCCATACTGTAGCGCCTGTACATCTCTCAAACTCGCAGTCGATGCAGGCCCTTTTGGGTTATTCCTAACGACCCCGTGTCCAAGCAACATGCAATGGCTTGTTTACCTTTGCTTCGACCAAACCAGCGCTTTTATATCATTCTGTAAGCTGCTTTGATGGTAATGATTAACTTCTGATAACAAAGTCCAAATATGGCACGCAAAAGCGGAATTTATTCAACCCTGCAAGGCAACTGATACCATTATGAAGTACATTACAACTTTTAAATGCACTTTTGCATAAAAGCGTGAAACTTGGAACAGATGTTTTATATTCATGCGAGAAAATGTTTTAGATGTGGAGCCATCGCAAATGTACCCTTTTAGGGGCGTGGCATCCATTTAAAAAAGGAGTGACTTGTCGTGCCTGCAGTGAAAATGGTTGTTCCCACTTGTCACCAAAGCAGGAAACCTCACAGAGACATAATTATATCGATTATAAGTGTTTTCCACAAAAGAACCTTTTTGGGATCGTGACAGCCATTAAAATTTAAGGGGGGGGGGTGTTTAATTATTATGCCCACCTTGGAAAAAAAATGTGCCCATATTTCATGAAAAAAATAAAACGTCCCACAGACGTTTATATTCATGAAGAAAAAAATTCCAGATGTGGAACCATCTCGAACACACCCTTTAAAAAAAAAAAAAGGGGGGGGGAGGTTTCATTATGCTTACCATGGAAATATTGTGGAGAAAATCACCAGGATGCTTATTTACTTTTTCCAGTTCCAATGCTAAACGATATTCATAATTAAATTTAGGATAGAACTTTCTGAATTACTTAGAATCACTGACCCGTTTATTAGCTGAGAACTTAGATTTTACTTAAGATATTTGTTCCATTAATGACTCGTTTAAACTTTGAGCTATATCTCTCGGAGCTTTACTCTCACCTGTGCCTACGCTGACTCCATGTTGTGATGTGAAGTTTCATTAACGTATTGCTGTACGTTCACCGCCCATGCACGGCACGACTTTGAGCCAGGTACATGCGCACTGCTGTATTGTTACAAGCTACCGTAGAAGTGTTGTGCTATTTAGCCAATCATTGCTGTTGTATGAGGCGCGTAAGCACACGCGCACGCGCTTACGCAGAGTGCGTCCGCACCGTGCCTATAAATACAGCTGATTTCCAATTATTTTGGTTCTGTCTGTTTTCCTCTTGGAGCACACTGCGCAAGACCTCAAGACTTATAAGTTAGGCCTAGCCCCACGCTTGCATGCACCGGCAAGCGTGCATTGTCTTGCGCTATAGGGCTAGGGGACGGAGAAACCACACGTGCATATTGAGTGTGTAAATCCTGATCCTTAAAATCAATATTGCATTATACTTGTTTTTCTTATCAGTTGTTACTGCAATATAAAAGAATACAAGGAATGAGGCCACCGTACGCTACCAATGCTACCACTGAATCGCTCATATTTTATTAAAATCTCAACTTAAAAGATAGAGGGCGTTCTTTTAAAGATTGTACAGTTTACTTGTGAACCAGAACAAAAGTTCTTTGCAAGAGTTGATTGGTAAAAGAGAACCATTTTGTGGACATTATCTTTCTTCTTTTGTTCTTCCTGCATTTAATCTCACTCATCGAAACTGAACTCAAGTTTAGGGCAGACAACTGGGACCACCTTTGGTTTTTAGACCAGATTGATTAAAGGCATTGCCGGAAACGTTACAATATTGTTCCCACATTCATAGAGAAATGGAACTTTCCACAGACATTAACATTCATGAAAAAAAAAACAAGATGTGGAGCTATCGCGAAAACACCCTTTTAGGGGCGTGGCAGCCATATTGAAAAAAGGGGGCGGGGTTCTCATTATGTCCACCATAGGAAAAATGTGCCCACATATCATAAACGAATGAAACTAATTCCCACAGACATTAATATTCACAAGAAAAACTCAGACGTGGAGCCATGGCAAACACACACTTTTAGAGGCGTGGCAGCCATAGTAAAATGGGGGGGGGGGGGTTAGTCATGATGCCCCCTAAAAAAACCGTGCCTACCTTTCATAAGCGGATATAATTCCACGTGGACAATATATTCATGAAAATCTTTCTTTTTTTGAATGTGATGCCATTACAAACCTACCCTTTTAGA